GCGCAGGCAGCGAGTAGTACCACTTCTGTGCCTTTGGTCCCAGAGTTAGGGAGAACATGCGGCACCTAAGGGCGTCGGTGGCCCCGTGTAGATCCATCCATGAAGTGTAATTCCCGAGGTGGGCGTCTGGGTCCGACGTTCCGTCGTACAGGCCGATTTGTGGGACTTTTATTTTCCCGGTTAGTGGCTCTAAAGTCTGCTCGGGAGAGAGAGGGGAGTCCGTCTCCACGTACACGTGGCCAGTCTCTTGACTGCGTTGATTGGGAGGTGACCTCGCCCTTTGGTTTTGTAAAGTCTCAAGTTCGGCGACTCTCCTCCTTAAGGCCTCCATCTCGGGGTTGTCGTGCCTAGCCGTTCGGCCCCGCACTATCTGGTGCCGGAGGTCGGTTGGGTTTCCCGCCGTTCTGAACAAGGGTCTAGCGACGGCGGTTTCCCTCCGGGCATGTCCGGACTCGCTTTCTCCCGTCATTTCTTGCAAATCCTGCTCTTGGGGGTTCACCATCTGGGCTGGTTGTCGCTGGGTGGCGCCGTCCCTCGGTTGGGACGTTGCGTGTGAGCGCGCTTGGTTGTTCACGCCCTGTTGCGGTGGTGCCGCCGGCCTGGCTGGGGTTATGGGCGCCAACGACTGACCTGGCACGGTTCTCGAGGCTCCTGGCATTGTCTGGGCCAGTAGTGTTGAGAAGCCTTTCGCGAACTCTGGGTTCTGCATAAGCGTAGCAAGGTCTGGTATTATGGCCGTATTGGCCCTACCAGTTGAAGGGATTGGACCGTGGCTGTCCCCTCCCCTTGTTGTTTGATCATCTTGTCCTGACTGTGCCATCGTTGTTCGATTTCAAGTCAACGGTTTCAAAGGTAGATGCTAGATTCAAAGATTAACCTCAAGATATCTTATGAGGCCCTTCCTCTAGCGCCATACTGTTGATAAACGGATTTGATCAACTTTTTATATTTGAACTTTAAGATTAATGAGGTAATGAGACGATTTTATTGAATAACTGGAGAGTTCTTAAGAAAATATCAAGTCGGTTTTTCAAGGACTTGAGGTCGGTTTTTTTACAGTGCAATGATGTTAAAGCTGGCGAGAGCCGAGGTGATTAATGCGGAATTAATGTGTCGGAAAAAAAGATCCTCGTATTGCCTTTATTGCTGCTATTTATAGTAACTGTGGGCTCATCTTTTGAGGAGATTCGGCGGCATTTAATGCGGAATGACATCTGCGCAGCTTTTCTGTCAGTGGGCCCCCTTCATGCAATGATGTCTCCACATGGGCCTTGAATAGTCGATGGACAAACATTAAATGCTGCCTGTCGGCTCCGACGTCGGCCTGTTTCCGAGGTTGCTTCGTTCAAGAGGTCGGTATCCAGACAAGGTCGGCTTCCACAGGTCGGGCAACATTTTCTCTGCACTCCTCGGCTTGGCCCCTTTATTTTCTCGTCGTCCACGTGTCGTCCATACAACGCCTGAGTGAATTTTTAGGTCAACAATATGTATAATAAATAATTTTTAATATATTTTTTTATAAATTACGAATTTAACCGATATACTAAATTTAAATTAATCAAAATTATTTATATTTGCTAATGTTCATTCTTGATGCATTCCACTAAATATTATTGTTATTATAATTTTAATAACCTAAACATTTATCCTATCATATGAATTAATGAATTGTATTTTCGAACAAAACCAAGTGTGGCTTTTATCTGTATGATTAGAAAAATGAAATTTTTCCTTACAGATAGAATTCATTGTAATGTTAGAAGAGAATATATCAATAAACAAAGACACTTAACAAAAGCATTTTGAAAAATCAAAAGGCAATCAGTATGGACTTTGGACACTGGGAAAGACACCTGCCAAATACTATGACCTATCAAAAAATAAATAAATAAATAAATGAATTATATTAAAATTTGTACATTTGCAATTAAGTCCCTAGTTATTGTCAAATTTTCAAACTAAAGTCCTTAACATACATGAAGTCCATCCCCCAAATTCACGCTGCACCCGCCCAATTCCCAGCTAACCCCGCCGTTGGCCCCTCCATTCATCTCCTAGCCGTGCAACTTACGTCGTGCAATTTTCATCCTCTTGCCGTGAAATTTCAAATTGCCGGAATTCGAAATTTGGATGGTCCGAAATACCATCAATTTCTTACCCGATCTCTCCGCCGACGAATCTAATATGACGGTTTCATCCTCCCCCTACGCCTGCTCGATCTCTCCAATGATCCGCCGGCGACACCGCCGCCTCCAGTTCATGTGAAATTGACAATATCAGAAGAATATTGGGGTGGCGGGAGGAGTGGCGACGGATGCGGTGGTGGAGGCGCTGGAGCTGGGCGAAGGCGGCGGAAGGAGGGGCACATGGAGCTTGGTGGCGGCAGTTATGGAGGTAGTGCGTGCCAAGTGAGATGATGTGTGGGAGAGACGTGTAGCTCAAAGAAGGGAGAAATAATGTGATGGGTGCAATTATATGTGAAAGAAATGTCTTATATACCCTTTAGGGACAGTCTAGGGTCAGGTATAGTTGTACATACTTGACATCAAGTAGTTCACTTTATTAACATTAGATTGAGTTAAGATTTAATATCAACCATTGATTTTATGTACAAACCATGGGCAATGAAAAAAAAAAGATTTTTGATTTGTACATGGGTTGTACGATTGTACAAGCTAAAAACCTATTTTACCTTTACTATTATTAAAAATTTAAATAAATAAAATTATATTTTATTTATTTTGAAATCCATGTATTTATGTTATTTATATAACAGTCCTCCATATATAAAAAAACACATTATGTAATCCGATTTGTATTATTAAGATTTAGGAAAATTCTTAAGTGCCGTTGTGTATTTTAGCGGAACCAATGAACATTTGCCACATCATTTTAGTTTGGTAGACTTTTATCATATCTAAAGGTCCCTATCAATTTTAAAAAATCTAATGACTGAGATTAAATTAACGGAATGGTGCCCAACCCCTAAGATTCATTATTATACCAATTAAAAACACATTCATCTTTTTTTTTTTTATTTCAAGAATGTGAATTCTCTCGTGGGATTTTGTCCGCATAGCCTCCCCTACAAAAGTTTTTGTTTAAATGACCCTCTAAGTCAACAGCCCTTTTTAAACCTTTTAAAATGTAATAAGAAATGGTATTAAAAACCAAGTTACTATTATACCCCCTTCTTAAAGAGTTGTGTTTGTTCCCTTTCTTCTTCTAACTTCTTCAATTTTATCGCTCTCTCTTCTCTCTCGGCTGCTCTCTTCTCTCTCGGCTCCGCCTCCCTCCCTTTTGGCTCTCTTCTCTCTCGCTCTCTCGGCTCTCTCTCACACACTCTCTTGGCTCTCTCGTCTCTCTCTATCACCTCTGTATCATGGAACTATCTATTGTGAATGCCGGTAAGGAATCAATTTTTTTTCCTTCAGTTTTTTTTTTTTTTTTTTTTTTTTTTTTTTTTTTTTTTTTTTGTTAAGGGTATAATGATGTTGAACCCTTTATATTTAGAATTATTCCAAGCATGCTATATTTATTAAGGTAGAAGAAGAAAAATGAGTTTGTGTGTTATGTGTTAATTGTAGAAGAAGGATGATGTTAAAGAAGAATATTTTTTCTTGCAATTTTGTTATTTTGCACTCTATTGTGTTTAAATAGATGAAAGTTGGGTTAATTGTTTAATATATGTTATGCATAAAATTGAAGTTGATTGTTGAAATGATTGTAGGAGTGAGTTTGTGAATTTGTGCACATGAAGTGTTTGATGAAATGCTTGTAAGGTGAACTCTATGTGTTTGATGAAATGATTGTATGGTTTTGTTGATTAACTGAAAATAATGAGACTTATATGTAATTCCTTTAATAGCCGAACATTGAAACCTGATCGATAAACCGTGCTTTTGAGCCCTTCTAGCCATAGATGCCCTCGTCTTTCATTTTCGAGTGAGTAGCATGTTCCTTTCCTCTTTACACAGTGAATTCCTTTCATGCCCAGACAGAGAGTCTTACCTAGAGTTTTGTTTGTTCATTTGCTAGATATGCCTTTTCATTGAGCTGAAGAATTGATTGACTTACTTTCTTTGGTTTGATATAATACTTTGGCAGTTCTTCTATTCTATTTTTATTTTTTAGAAATATAATATATAACAATTGTGTATTCACTTTCAGTTTCAACAATGTGTTATTATTATATATGCATAAGACCAATGAAAATAGCATTGGCCTTCCGAAATTCTCGTGTCAACCGGCTGAAAATATGCATAAGACCATTACTTGTTGTATTTCATTTGGTAATAGTATTGACATGTTGTGTATAATGTGTTTAATAAATATGTTGTCTTTCTTATTTTTTAGGAACCCAAAAGGAATATGCGTTTGATATTCCTTGGAAACTGAAAGCAGTTGTGACGAATCGGTGCAACATGAAAGTTGTCGGTGACGTATTTCACAAACTAGACGATAAACATAAAGATCTATTTGTAGATTCTTGCTTCCGATCACTTGTAAATATTCCCCAGCTCAAATTGTCGTCGCAAATAGTCCATCAGGTAGTTCTTAGGACATTGAAAGCGTCCGAAGATGAGAAAGATGCAGTGTGGTTTAGATTTGGAGAGAAGGAGTGTAGATTCGGGTTACAAGAGTTTTCTCTTGTAACCGGGTTGAAGATTGTTGCTTTGGATGAGAATTCCTACGACGTCCCCAAAACGAATAGTTCGCTTTTGCAGCTTTTCAAGGATAAGCGGGGGGCTATAAAACGCAATGACTTGCTCGTTGAATTTCATAAGCTTATAAAGGATGAAGAGCAGGAGTTGAAGTTCAAATTAGGGCTTGTGATTGTCTTGGAGCATGTTCTTTTGTCTGCAGAGGTCGAGACTCTTGTAGACGAAAGATGGTTTCATTTGGTGGAAGATTTAGAAAAATTCAATAATTTTCCTTGGGGCAACTTGTCGTACGAGCAGACCGTAAAAGTGTTCAAGCGGACCTCTTTGGGGAACGGACCAAAATCAAAGTCCGTAGCGTATTCTTTGCATGGATTTCCCATAGCAATCATGGTACTTTTCATGTAAACATATATTTATGTTTTTTTTATTATTTATTTTTGTTACTTGTATTCATAATTATGCTCTCTTTTTTGCTAAGCAGATTTGGGAATTTGAGGCGCTACCTAATTTCGGAAGAGAATTTGCTGAAAAAATTGTTGATAATGTATATCCAAAAATGTATTGCTGGAAAATGGATAAACAGTTGCGAGCCGAGACGCTTCAGTCTTTTTTTGAGAGGGTGGAAGTAAGTTTTGTTATAGATTATTCTTCTTATTTATTGTTATACTCTTAAAATTCTAATTGAAATTCTATTAAAATCAGGTTGAAGTTCGACGAACGTTGGAACCCTCTTCCTCTGAAGTGGACACATCATTTTTTAATGAAATGGGTATAACTTCCTGGACAGAAGTTAGTGTCTGTCAACTTGAGGAGGAAGAAGGCAGTGCATCCAAAGCTGAGGATGAAGAAGCTGATGAATCTTCTAAACCCGATGATGATGAAGAAGAAGAAGAAGAAGAAGAAGAAGAAGAAGAAGAAGAAGAAGAAGAAGAAGAAGAAGAAGAAGAAGAAGAAGAAGAAGAACAAAATGCGTCTCAACCTCCACCACAATCTCATGTTATTGATGAAGAAAAGATCGCAAGTATACTGAGGAAAGTGGTGAAGGACGAGGTGAGGACAATAGTGCAGGAAGAGGTGAGGAAAGTGTTGAAGGACGAGATGAAAATGATTTCGGAGCAAATGGAGACGAAGATGGAGATGAAGATGGACAATTTGTTCGAGAGAATGAAGAACGTGTTTTTTGAAGCAAAAGATAAACCATCTACCCGAGGTACTTATGATGGGACATATGATGACCCGGATGATGAGGTGGAGCAAAATGTGCGGGATACGGAGACCGTTTACCCAGGTAATTTTTTTTTATATATATATCAGTGCATTATTTTAATATTATTACTCGATCATTTTAATATTTTTTGTAGTAAAAAAATTATTTTAAAAGAAATGCAAATCATGTTATTGAACTATTTGATTATTTTTTTACTTTGCAGACACGATGAAATCACCATCTCCGATGCCCGAACAAGAAATGGCTGGACTTCATGATGATGCGGGTATGTAAAGTATAATTGTAACTACTATGTAATATGACGGTAGATTCTTGTAAATAAAACAGTATTGATTGTTTTCTTGCTTATTGTAGGTTTTGTGAGCCACCCGTCATCATCCATTGTTGTGTACGATCAGAGACAACTGCCGCCGACAACAATTGAGATGGAGAACACTGTTGAAGACGAGACGGCAGCAGCAATTGAGTTGGAGAATACCGATGAAGATGATCCACCTGAGTCTCCTAAGGGGAGAGGGCACCGGAAGAAAAGAAAGGCCGCCGTTCTACGTACTCCGTGGAGGAATATTGAAAAGAGAAAAAAATTTGCAACTGTGACGGAGTACGACCCTCATAGGCCAGTGGATCCAGCTAAATTTGAAGATCTCCAAACGTGGTTGATGAATTCCCCTGAAAGGTATGTAATTGTGTTAAGTTAATTGTGGCTTACTTATTGTAATATATATGCTTTGTATGTCTTTGTTTAATTTATAAATTTCTTATGTAGTGCTGAAGTTGAGTTGTCCTGTGGTGGTGTAGCACGAAAAAAGTTTTTCGAAGATCTTGTGAACGATCGTTGGCTCAGTAGTGAGGTAAACTATTTAAAAAAAAATTATTCAATATTTAACTTTTGAAAAACATGATATTAAGTAATCTAATAAACATAATACTCCTATGATAGCATATAGATGAAGCGCTTTTTCACATTCGAGAGCGTGCCAAGCAGTATTCTCTCTTGTTTAGACAAGATTGTGCTGTATTGGACACGATTTTCGTGTTATACTTGAGAAACCACTTCAAGAAGATGTCGAAGAATAAAAAAGATGTGGTAGATTTTCCGAATGCCTTGATTAGATACGCCTCAGGGGATCTACCAAATAATGCAAAGCCGTTGAATGATTGTACGAAATTGTTTGTTCCTTTCTGCGACGAGGGCCATACCCACTGGGTCGCATTGGAGATTGATCTAGCCGAAAGATGCATTTACGTCCATGATAGCGAAAGAACTCACATGCGGAATGCACAACTGCAAAGGGAACTGGAGCCCATTCGAGTTGTGTTACCGATGCTATTGAGGACGATGAATTCTAACTACAGTCCGAAAAAGTTTGATTGGAAACGGTTGAAATCTCTTGAACAAAGCAATGGGTACGTATAATATACATTGTGATCATATTAAGTTTTTAAGTTATGAAATTTGGCCAACTAATAGAATTTGTACATTTATGTTGTTGCAGGTTTGATTGTGGAATGTTTACAATCAAGTTTATCGAGTTTTTGCATGCGGGGAAGAATATTCAAGACGTAGATCAGTCTATGATTAGTGATTGGCGTGTAAAACTAGCGGCTGAAATATTTGCTGCTCATTTTGATCCGTAGTTTGTTGTAAACATTTGGGCGTTGTTCATTTGTGAAGGATAATAAATTTTTGTGGGTTGCTTATTTTTTATGTAAAGTTTATCAAAACTTTTTGTGGGTTGCTCAAAACGGTTAAAAATATAAAGTTTAGCAAAATTGTTAAAAGTATTACTGGAACTATATAATATCAAAATGGTCTTTTAATGAAGGATTAATTAAAAATTGAGCCTACTTTTTTTTAAAAAAAAATAGAGCAACTTATTAAAATCAATTTGGCAAATAACAATTGTACAATCGTTCTTTCATAATACATAACAATTATACAATCGTTATTTCACAAAATACAATAGTCGCGGCAAGTGACAAATATCGCGTGCGCGACGATTTGGGATTGTCCTCTGCCCATAAATATCATTTCACAGTGTCGCGGCAAGGACGACTGTCGCGCCGGCGACGAATCCGTTAAATAAAAGAACGGTTGTTGAATCGTTTTTTCGTATGAAGTAACGGTTCAACAATCGTGATAGTACAAAAGGTGAGAGTCACGTCCGCGACATGTGTCGCGACCGTGACAACACAATTAGCCCCTCTGTCCACATTTTTATTTGGCAGTGTCGCCAGCGCGACCTATGTCGCGGGCGCGACAAGTCCGTTTATTGAAGAAACGAACAATGAATCGTTGTTTTGTTCCATGTAACGGTTCAACAATCGTGATAGTTCAAAAGATAAGTGTCGCGGCCGCGACACGTGTTGCGACCGTGACGATGCAATAAGCCCCTATGTCCACTTTTTTATTTGGCAGTGTCGCGAGCGTGACGGTTGTCGCGGTCGCGACATGTACGTCTATTGAAGGAACGAATAAGGAATCGTTCTTTCGTTTGAAGTAACGGTTCAACAATCGTGATAGTACAAAAGGTGAGGGTCACGTCCGCGACATGTGTCGCGACCGTGACAACACAATTAGCATCCCTGTCCACATTTTTTATTTGGCAGTGTCTCCAGCGCGACCTATGTCGCGGGCGGGACAAGTCCGTTTATTGAAGAAACGAACAATGAATCGTTGTTTTGTTCCATGTAACGGTTCAACAATCGTGCTACTTGAAAAGTTAAGTGTCGCGGCCGCGACAGTTGTTGCGACCGTGACGACACAATTAGCCCCTCTGTCCATTTATTTATATGGCAGTGTCGCCGGCGCGACGTATATCGCTGGCGCGACATGTACGTTTATTGAAGGAACGAACATTGAATCGTTGTTTTGTTCCAAGTAACGGTTCAACAATCGTGATAGTTGAAAAGTTAAGTGTCGCGGCCGCGACGGTTGTCGCTACCGTGACGATGCAATAAGCCCCTCTGTCCACTTTTTTATTTGGCAGTGTCGCTAGCGCGACCTATATCGCGGGCGCGACAAGTCCGTTTATTGAAGAAATGAACAATGAATCGTTGTTTTGTTGCATGTAACGGTTCAACAATCGTGCTAGTTGAAAAGTTAAGTGTCGCGGCTGCGACAGTTGTCGCGACCGTGACATCAAATGTTTCATTTTTTTTTATTTTTATATATTTTTTTTTCTCGTCGCGACGAAACTCATTTTGTGAAATAATGATACTTGTTTCCTTGGTGATATACGTGTTAACCCAAAAAATACAAACCAAATCAACCTTAGACAATCGTTATACCTATAATGGAAATCATAGCCAAAACATCGCAATACCTATAATGCAAATCATATAAATCACATCAAACTCATAGCAAAAACCGGAACACAAACCAAATCAAATATCGAATCCAAAAGACAATCCAAAGAGATAAGACAAACCAAATCGGAAATAGACAAACCAAATCCATAAGTCAAACCAAATCCAACAAAAGATAAACACAATCCTTAAATCAAACCAAATTCAAATGATAACCCTGTCACTGTTCATCCGGTGCATTCGATGGTGGAGGTGGAGGTGGAGGTGTAGGGTAGGGTAGGCTGCTTCCTGAACTCCGACGAACGTCCCATTGGTTGAACGTGTCGTCCCAACGACGCCATTGTTCAAATTGGCTAGATTCCCAACGGGTCCAACGGTCATTGTGTGCCTCCCATTGCTCTTTATTCAGTTGCATGTAGGTCTTCATCTCGGCTTCGTGCTTCACCCAACGAGTCCAGCGTTCCTCGTGCGTCTCCCATCGCTCATTATTCAACTCCATGTAGGTCTTCATCTCGGCTTCGTGCTTCGCCCAACGAGCATCATTGTTCTCAATGAAAGTATCGATCTTCGCATTGTGTGACTCTATATCGGCGCGGAGCAATGTCATCTCTTCACTTTGGCCTCTGGTCGCTGGAGGGATGAAATAGTCCTCCGGGTCGGTATCTGGTTCGTGGGCCTCTGTCTCGCCTTCGCCATGAGGTTCGGCCTGAGAGGAACCACCTACATCTGATTGCTTCTCCAGTTCCTTCATATATACCTTGTAGCAATCGCGTGACGTGTAATGAACGATGGTGGTGCTGTCTTTCACGAGGCCGGCTTTAATTAGTTCCCCCAACCCAATCTTCTTTGGTTGAAGCGGCATTTCATTAATTTCAACTTTGAAGTGGTTGGCAAGACCAGTGACGATATTGGCCAATCTCGGACCTCGCGCAGGGTACATTTTCGAGTCCCAGAGTGTCTCCTGCACGAACCCTGTAATGCATACCGGTTTCTTCGCACACATAGCCCACAACAGATAAACCTCTTTCTCGCTAACCTTGTTGGACTCTTTTTTGCCAAAGACATTGTGTGCCAAAAATTTATGAACCACGGCAATGGCCACTTTTTTTATTAGCCCATTTGACGGTCCCTTGACTTTGAATTTCTCACACGGAGACAAAACGGCCCAATGCTTGTGTACATCAAAATCACGGGGCAATTGGCGAGACCCTGTTGCTCGGAAACCAAAGACCTCATGCATCACCTTGTTATCAACCTTGTATTCTTTACCTTTCATCCGACAAGTGAAATACTTGCCGTTGTCGTGTACGACGATTGTGGTGATGATTTCAAGTGTTAGTTCCGCGCATGCTACCATATCCATGGCTTCGTACTTGTCAAGGTTGAGAGCCTTCAAGTATTTCCTCACGTCATCCGAGACTTTAAGTGAAGCTAGTAACTCCCAATCGAGGGTCCTTGGGATCCGACATTTTTGGGTGATGAGGCGTTTGTACACGTTGACCTCATCTTGTGAGAAAACGGGAAATGGAATGCCATGCGTTCGAGCCAAATTTTCAGTTTCGGCGTCCGAGCTCGAGTCGCTATTGTTTGAGGCCGGTGAAGAATGCGGGGTAGTTATAATTGCTTTGTCTTTGTCTTTGGCTTTGGCTTTGCTCTTGGAGGGAGCTTTTGATGACGTACCTCTTACCATTCTCGGTTCTTGTTAATGAATCAAGTAAACAAGCTATGTAGCCCTCTTTGCCTAGTTGTGTCAATTCGTCGAACACCTTGTGTGCGGCAAAGCGTGTTTGAAAAATGATAAAGAATAAAATATTTAGAATCCTCACACTTCAAGCAATTTGAAATCGTAAATTTGAAGAAATTAGCGAGATCTTACCGTGTGTAGAAGTTGATAATAAACCCTTGCCGGAATTGCCGTTGTGCTATTAATGCTTCCGAGAAGAAAACCTTGCCGGAATTGATGTTGCCGGAATGATGGAGTGTCCACGCCTGTAGGAGTAGATGGTCGGGCGTGATGTTGTCGCCGGTCCTCGAAGATGGAGATACGGCCGAGTGGGGTCGTGGGGTTTGGGGTAGTTTTCGATCGGAGATGATGGTGAAAATCCAAAACGGTTTTGGATATTTACTTTTTTTTTTTTTAAAAAAAAAGTAATTAATTCAAATAGTAGTACATTACAATAAAAAAAAATAGATTTTTTTATTTAAATGGAAAAAAAATAAGTGGACAAAAAAAAAAGTGAGTCGACCAAAATCGAAAAGCCGTATTGTGAAATTGAACTCAAATTAGTCCAATTAAAGTCAAATTACTACAATCGAACTCGAATTAGTACAATCTCGATCAATTATAATGAAATCGAAGTCAAATTAGTCGAATTAAAGTCAAATTACTACAATCGAACTCGAATTAGTACAATCTCGATCAATTATAATGAAATCGAAGTCGAATAGTCCAATTAAAGTCAAATTACTACAATCGAACTCGAATTAGT